ATAAATTTTTTGAGATTGTCTTCTCTTCTTAACTTCTTCTCCTTGCATCTATTCTAATATTCTATTTTTTATTTTTACATTTCTTCAAATAAAAAATCTCGAGTTACATTCGAAGAGAGTAAAGTGGGAAGAGAAAAATATCGAGAATAATAGAGAAGGCATGACACGTAGATCCTATTTAACCAAAACTTTACAAACATACATTCCTAAAAACTTTGTCAACTCATCTATACCATTCACTCATGCTTCAATTATATTGATACATGGCATACAAATAAAATATATTTCATTTTAACGTAATTATAAAATTAGATTTTGGTTATTTTATAGATAATATTAGAATTTCTCTAAATTTTAATTTTTAGACTTTTTGAGCCTTATGCTTATGGGCTTTTGGGCTTAGGAGGCCTATGTCTTGCCATGCCCTAAGCACTAGTCGATAGTTGCCATTGCGAGCGTGTACGGCACGGCACTCGCCATTGGCCGGTGCCTCGTACTAGCCTTGGTAGGCCAATTGGCTAGTGCTCGGCATCGGCTTGGCTGCCTATAGGTTAGTTCCCAACACCGGCCTAGTACTAATAGGCCTAGTGGCTAACACGTGCTTGGCTTGGAGTCGACACACTCGCATGCACCTACCCTTTTGCTTGACATGCTTGTGCATGTCCGGAACTGATGCCTAGCATGCTTATGCGTACCTATCCTAGTGTCTAGTGTTATCGTGTGTGTTTGGATACACGAGGCACGTCTAACCTTACGCACGCCCGGCGCATGCTTGGCCTTGCCCCGGGCCTAGCATGCACCCAACGCACTTCTGTCTTTACCACAAGCCCGGTATGTGACCCATGCACTATGGCCGGGCACATGCTTCGTGCGTCCTTGGCCTAGCCATAGGCACGGCACATGCTGGCTCGGCCATAGAGCTAGTACACGTACCCGGCACACGTCTAGCTCAGGCGTTGTCATGCATACTAGCGCCAATGTCCAATGTTGGCCTCGCACGTACCCATCATTTTCCATCTTAAAAATCATTTAAATAATTATAAAATATCAAAACATTAGATTTATAATTAGGAACATCAATTCATGTAGTTAATCATAATTAACACGACATACAATTAAAGATTTAATAGAGGATCCGATACCAATTGATGAATCATGCATCCTATGGAGGTCCCAAATAAAATAAAAAAATTTCTCCATCTAAGGCTCCCAAAATCATGCCATTGAATTAACTAATCATGTATTAACATGAATTTAAATATGGGTGAAAGATTACCTCTTATAGCATAGAAAACAATGAAGCAAAAAGGGAACCGTCCAAGTGTCTAGCCTCTATTGATAATCCACATAGCTTAAACACCCACAAAGGAAGCCACAAAAATTATAGAGTGCAAGCTCTAATCCTTCTGTATAATTAATTTGGTTTCTAAAGAAATCAATCGGGATTTTTACGATAACTTAGGCTTTTAGAAGGATGCTACTAACTCAAGCTTTTTTTAAGGGAGAGAAATGTTTTCTCTCTTTTTCTTTTATTATTGTCGTGTGTGTGTGTGTGTGTGTGTGTGTGTGTGCGTATGTGCGTGTTGCTTACTTTTCTTAGCCTTGCCTTACACCTCTTTCCATTTTATTTATACAAGAGGGTGGCATCCTTGTCCTCCATGACAAGGAGTTGTAATATATATGGACTTATTTGATTTTATCCTCGTAAACCCTCGGTCTTATCCAATAGAACTCAAGTTTATCCTCCCACTAAAATATCTTACAAGTTTTTAAATTAAGCTTATCGACCCAAACTCTTTTGGCTCAATTAATTACGAATTATTTTGAACCATCCAAATAAATTGGATCAAGTATTTTAGTAGAGCCCACTTATAGGAAATAATTTTTTAAATTATCCTTAAACATAAATTAGGAAACTAATTTTCTTTTTAGGTAATCGACTTCCAAATTAGAAAAATTATTTCTAAAATAGAAATTTTTTTCATTTTAGGAATTTTTTTTCCAAAATAAGAAACTTTCAAAACTAAAAACCTTTTTCCAAAATCTTTAATTCTCTTTTATTATGTGAATGTTTAAATTTATGTATGTGACTCGATAGACTCCTAGATATGTTGGCGGTATATCAAGAATAAAAAATACCTTTGTTTATCTCCCGATCCATAAATCAAGATTAGCATCTAGTAAAGTATCATGACTACCTAATTCTTTTGGAGGATTAATTAATTTGTAATTACCTTTCACGAGCATAATTACCATACAATTTAATCATCATGTCAATTTATCACGGTGTGATCTTGAACTTAGTTTAAAGTATGTTCGATTGTGACCATATTCCTAAATGTCCTAGCTACTAGAGTAAACCAACTTACTATATTGGTATACTTCTACTGTGGCCATAAATTTCTTGAGCGAGGCACTCATCGAAGTGCAATGTGATAACTCTTTTAACATATAAGGAATGACATGTCCTATCTTAGTCATCCACCTATCTCCATTAGATTCCTAGTGCACTCAATGAATTATCCATGTGCGGCTCTTGGTCGAGCCCATCGAAATGAGTGTCAAAGTATATCAAACCTCTAATGAGATAACTCGATGACTTCAAATCAAAGGATCAGTTGTACCCATCTCATATAAGATTCTCATAAACTAAACTGAATGGGTTCTCATGGCGAGTCACGTCCGGTGATATGTTCTTTAACATTAATCACTTAAGTATTTGCTTTGGTATCACCATGTCAATAAGTGTAAGATCTCCTACTACTATCTTATAGCATAAGCATAGCATTCACAAGATCTCCTACTACTATCTTATAGCATAAGCATAGCATTCACAAGTCTTACCGTATATAGTCGACGTCCATTCTTGACAATGCTATAACTTGAAATATTTAATTATATCTTTTAAATGCATTAATGTTCATCTCACATCAATTGATCAATCATTAATGCAATGCATATCATATGTACTTCTTTTATTAATTTATTAAAATACAACATTACAATAAACCAAAGCATCCAAATAAGGTTAGATTTTGAGAACTGACACTAACACGTGGCTTACTAATATTCAAGTGTCATGATTCGTCACTCGTCATGTTAACATTGACCAAAATTTTGGTCGAGAAAATCGGATCAATGCTTGGTATTGTTATCGGATGCATAGTTAGTGACCTTTCTATACAATTTTTAAATAACGAGCTAAAATTATTAAAAAAATATATAGTTCGTTATTTTCTATAACATTAAGCCTTTTTTATCATGTGATATTTGTGATTTATTTGTGTATGTGTGTATGTTTATCTTTTAAATTTCACATGTGTACACAAAAAAAGAAAAACTTTAGTTTTTTCATTAACATTAGAATTTATTAAATTTTTTTTTAATGTACTTTGTTAATATAAAGGATGTGTATTTAAGATTATTCGAATAAAAAATTTAGACAATTGACACGTAAATTATTCTAAAGATATCCCTTACTTTAAAATTAAAAAAAAAATCATAGTATTGTATTATTATTTTCATGATTTATATTTTCTTTCTTATATGGAAAACTTTACGAACAACTTTTAACTTGGTTATTCTTTTTAATGACGACACTATGTTTATCTACCCATTCTATATGCAAGGTAAACCGCAAGCTTTTTATGTTCAACTATTTTTTTTTCCTTTTTTATCATGTGAGATTTTTAATTTTTTTAATATTTTTTAAGTTCACGTATTTTTACATATAAAAAAAACTACTCTAGTTTCTATTTTACATTAATATTAGAATTTATTAAATTTATTTTAATGCATTAGGTGGATATGAAAGATGTGTCATTAAGATCGTTCGGAAAAAAGATTTAATCTCGATTGATAAATGAATTAGTCCAAAGATATCTCTTATCTTAAAATAAAAATAAAAATAAATAATATTTTTAATATTTTTTAAGTTTCGGGTATATTTGCATATAAAAAAAAACTATTCTAATTTCTATTTTACATTAATATTAGAATTTATTAAATTTATTTTAATGCATTAGGTGGATATGAAAGATGTGTCATTAACATCGTTCGGAAAATAAATTTAATCTAGATTGACATTTGAATTAGTCCAAAGATATCTTTATAACACTCCCGACCTAAGACCTACATAGGTCCATCATTGACTTGCATTCTAAGTGCAATGAATGCGAGGCCACGAAGCCTCCAAGCCTCCTCACCTCACCTAACAAAATTACTAGTAAAAGTGGTGGTTTTCGTATGAGGTCCCTAATAAATAAAAAATAATAGGTCTCAATTAAATAAAACTTAGGTATAAATTTTTTTGAAAATTCCACTAATACCAATTAATATTCCTACTACATGTGTATAAATATTGAATGTTAAAATTAGGTTAAAAACTTATATTCTTGAAATCCAATTTAAACATTTAAATAAAATACCTTATATTAAACTAAAATGAAACATGTCTTATTTTTCTCAAATTCCTTCTAGAAATTCACATCATAATTAAATTAGTTTTGACATAAAAATATTGAGGATTTATTCCACTAAATTTTACTGATTATTTCTATATTGAATCTTAAAATAAAAATTAAAAAAATAAAAACATAATACTGTTTTATTATTTTCATGATCTATATTTTCTTCCCTGTATAGGAAACTTAACGAAAAAACTTGTAACTTTTGAGATAAAAATCCAGATCTAATCTTAATTAAGTATGGGATCCGTAACACTCTTGAGGAAAATCCAGATCCAATCCTAATTAAGTATGGTATCCGTTAATTAATAGTAAAATATATGTGGCTTTTAATTGATAATTTAAAAAAAAAAAAAATCCGAGTCCTTTACTGATAACGAAGTTCCTTCCGAATTCCACAAGAACGCCTCTATATATACCCAAGTCCACTTCACAAAATAAATCAGACGTAGTATTTGCTATTTCCTTCCAGAAAGGAGGAAAAAAGAAACCCATTAGATTCTTTTTGTTGCGCAGCAATCCAAGCATTGAACCATGGCTATTCTCTCCGATTACGTTGAGTCTGAACAAAACCAGCAAACCCCAACATCTCCTTCGTCCTCATTGTCATTCAAGGTAGTTCTTGATCCCTCAAACCCTCTAGGGTTTTTGGAGTCTGCCCTCGACTTTTTGTCTCAAAAGTCTGATGTCATCAAAACCGATGTCTCTGCCCTAGTTAAGGAGTTCAAGAAAAGAATCAAGGCTGAAGAGGATTCGAAGAAAGCGGAAGAGAAAAGGCGTGCTGAAGAGAAGAAGAGAGAGGAGGAGAAGAAAAAGCTGCGGGTTCCAAACAAAGACAATGGTCTTGACATGGAAAATTATTCATGGGCACAGACCCTGCAGGAGGTAACTATTATTGTTCATGTCCCTCCTGGAACGAAATCTAGGGACGTTGTGTGTGAGATGAAGAAAAAATCTGTGAAAGTTGGACTCAAAGGTCAGCCTTCAATTCTTGAAGGAGAACTATTTGAGACAATCAAGGTTGATGATTGTTTATGGAATCTTGAAGACCAAAAGACTGTTTCTGTGCTTCTGACAAAGTGCGACAGGATGAATTGGTGGAAGTCCTTGTTCAAGGGGGTCCTGAGATTGATATTCAAAAGGCTGAACCGGAGCCAAGCAGGCTGTCAGATTTGGATCTAGAAACAAGGTCCACTGTGGAAAAGATGATGTTTGATCAACGACAGAAGCAGTTAGGTCTCCCTACCAGCAAAGAGATCGAGAATGAAGGCCTCTTGAAGCAATTCATGGCTCAGAATCCAAATTTCGCCAATAAGAATCCAAACATGAACTTTTCCAACATAAAGATGATGTAGACGGTAATCTTTGGGCCATATTAGAGTAATTCTAGGCAGGATATAAAGAAATTTAGTCAAGTGCAGAATCTATTTTAAACTTTTGATGCGTGAGTACAATTTTATAGTAGTTTGGAGTTTTATTTTCCTCCTCTGAATATTGAAATATGTTGTTGGCAATGCCATGATTTACAAACAAGAGCGAGTCTAATTTACTTTTTCTTTTTTTTTCTTTTTCCTTGACAAGATCCAAATTTGACTAGTTAAGTAATCGTTATGTTTTGAATTATAAAGCGGTATCAATTGCTTCCCTTCCTTTTTAACTCCTTATGATTCAAATTGAACAAAGCTATCCATTTTAAATGCAGAGACCTTTTAAAAGATTCACTAGGATTGAATATAAAAAGGATTATCGAGTACAAAAGGTTAAATGGAGATTCATTTGATCATACCAAAATCAACATGCCAAACACTAAATTAACGTTAACATTAATAATAACCGTGAAGGTTCAAGACATCTACAATGTCTGGTTTTATTCTGGACAGAGAACTTAAGCACGCTATCTCATAGCGATAAGTCTACCGCAAGAACCATAGTAGTAGATTTAAGTACCTGAACATAACAACAGAGCCAATCCACAACCAGAGTAGGAATGTTCTCATAACCACATATAGAAATTTTGATGGCATTTCTTGTTGTAGCCATCTAAATATCCAGCTAGAAATTCCCATACTCCTTTCAAGCATCTGCATGAAAACATATGAGTATGATTAAAATTAATCTATTTGTTTTCCACCAAGTCTTGGGACGTCTAGGTTGGGAGATTGTGGAAAAGCATGTTCCAGATTTGAACACTCTTACCATTTGGGGAATGATAACTCCTCCCAGCTGAGTCTGGAGCCATTGGAATGGCCATTGATAGCTGAACAGTAGACGAGTTCTTGTTGGATCTTTGATCAATGAGATAGGAATCTATATCCCTGCATTTTGGCCACTCATCAAAGAGAGGCTGAAGAGACTGATTTTCCTGCCTTGTAGATCCTGATGAACTGAACTCCCTTCCAAATAAATAATGTTGCTGTTGTTGTTTTGAGGTTGCAGCATCAACAGTTAGAGGCTCAAAATCCTGCAGTGTCTGCAGTTGTGGGTAGTTTTGCAAAAAAGCACCATTTCTTGATTCTGGAACAGGGTTTGCAGGGACTTCGGATGTGAGACGCCAAGTGCTGTCCACAGTAGAGTTCATCCCAAGGCTCCTTGCATCTCCCAAAGCTTCTGGTAAGAAAGTTTTCTCATCTACTTCGGGCTTCAGTCCATGGAGAGACCTGCAATTCCAGTTTGTAAAAACACACCCAAGAAATTTTTTTCCTTTGCAACACATGTTCAAGCTCTCCAAGAAATCCAAGCTAGTCTTTAGATATTCAAGTGCAATCAAGATTATGATGTAGTGGTCTAGTGAGGAGCAAGTCTGCAGTAAGCTAACCCACTCCATTCTCTTCAAAACTATCTTACAATTCACAGAATCGTTTTCTAGCTTAATTAACAAACTCACCAGCAATGTTGAGTATAAGCATGGAAATGGGATGCGGGAACAATTCAATGCATCTTCTGAAAGCTAAGACATCATAAGATGGAGATGCATAAATGATGACTGTGTATGCAGGGATAGACAGGGGCAGAAAACCTCAAAAACACAAAATATTTACACACACACATGTATGTTTGTATCTACGTGTGTGTGTGTGTGTGTGTGTGTGTGTGTGTATTATGGTAACATGATAATAAATTACTGACAATTTTAGATGTGTAGCCTTATATGGCCAAAAGGTCCAAATCTCGTCAACATTACTCCATCTACCATTAAACTATAAATATATCACTGTTATAATTTGAGAATAGATGGTAGCAAACCAAAATGAGATATCACTGCAGCAATCCAAAATCACAATAATAAACCATAAAGGGTATATGAGCAAATGGCACCAATGATGGCTAGATTTGGTTGCACTTGTCGTTATACAAACAAGAGTGGGGGAAACAGGGGATTTTAAGGTTTGAACCTCATTTCTTAATTGTTTCACAACATCCCCTTTAGACAGGCTGAAAATGCAATTCTATATTTTGATGTAAAAGGAACAGAAAACCTAGACAAGTCTGGATTATATTTCGTAAAGTTGCAACAGCATCCAAATTATCTGAGTATTAATCTGAAAGAACAGAGGCAATACAAAGACAAGCCACATTTTGTATGTCATTGTATGGATACTGGGTAGCATTGCAGCAGATGGGTTTTCATTGGTTACAAAAAAATGTTTACTGCCCACTCCAAATAAAGGATGAGAAACCAACTAACTTTTATTTGTTTAGAAATATTATCGATGAGGCTCCTTAAAATCCACAACAGGCTAGCAACAGAGAAGAGGGATAAGGCAAAGAAGAACCTATTTAACGTATTCCAAGTTTTCAACTTGTTATATCAGCTGAATTTGATGATATGAGATATTAGATTTTCTAAAGTTAATGGTAGACAAGAAATTTTGGAGTGCTTTCTGAGTAAGATGTTCAAAACAAGGTCATCAATTTCAAAACTTAATCCCATACATTTAGCAAGTAACCTTCATCATTCATTAATGCAGTATTATCTTGTTTACCTTATGCACAGGACCATCACTCTAGCTTTTCTTTTTACAACGCTAGTAAGTAATATTAAGTTAGTTATCAGTGCCACTACAATTACCAAGGTGCTTCCACCAATTCAAGCAAACATATCAACAATAGCAAGCATAAAACTTAAGCACTGGAACATCATGACTCGAGCACCTTGGCTTGCTCAATGCAGCATAAGGATTGACAATTGCTTTATGTAATGTTTAAGTGGCTTGAGGTCAGGCATGTTACTCAAAGTTAAAGGCTGCATCAAATATCACTTATCCCTCAATTGATATACCACTTCACCCATAGTCATAGATACACCAAAATACAAATATAGATTGCTATCAAGCACAAATCCTTTAGTAAAACCTTTGCTCAACATGCAGTTTGATTAGTGCAAATAACAATTGCGCACCTGTAGTCTTTACTATTGACACCATAAGGCATAGACTCCATCTGCCAACGTGACATATTGCTTCCAAAGCTTAAGGCCCCGGAATTACCAACGGTGGGTAAAGGCATAGCCGGGTATGCTCTGCTGCCACTGCTGCTGCTCCCAGTTGCAATTTCTGATGCCACAGTCGACATGGACTGAGAAGTAGTTTGTGATTCCACAGGCTTTCTTGAACGGTTACGGCTTCTATTCATATGCCGCTCACAATACTTGGAGTCCGGATGAGCATCTTTGGAGCACCTCCACTTCTTGCCATCTGTCCTCCGGCACCTTCCTGGCTCCGAGTCAATCTTCTTCCCAAAATAGGAACAATAGCTTACTGCAAAAGAAGACCAATATAGCATGTAACAAGCACAAAAATACTTTAAAGTTAGTTGATTAACTAGACATCACCAAGACATTTGATGTAACAAAGTGCACACATGCAAGCACAAGCACGAACAATACGACTTGCAAATTAAAATACTTTCAAATGTCAGAAAACTGCACTGCCCATTTACTTTACATTTTCTCCCAAACCATTTACCTTGAGTTAAATTCAATTACTTGATGGCTATTTGGATGTCTCGTTGCATAATATTTTTCACCTCATTTTCATAGCATTTAACAGTCCGAATGTAAAAACAGATTAACAAACATAATAAAAGGGGCAGCAAGAAGAAGCAAAACGCAGTTTTTAACCAGTCTCAAAACAGTTGAAAAAATAAGTAGTTCATTGAATCGATCAAGATAATGTACAATTTTGAGAACAAATCCATAATTACAAGTGAGTCGTTTAAGAGTAGAAATTAACACAGTAAACGGTAAAATTTATTTAAAAAAAATAGACTGACCTTGCCAACTTTAATTAATAAAACTAAATAAGTCCTAGACGTACCAATCTGTTCCCATCTTAAAGACACCAACTTCAAATTGAAATTGAAGGTGAGATACAATTCTGATAAAAGCCCTCCGTTACATGTGGGTCAATTAAAGAGTAGCAACAAAAAAAGGACATAAAAATTCTAAAAAATCAAATTGATACTCCAACTTCTTCTATTGCCTCATTCATTATAACCAAACAAGTCCTAAATGTACCAAACTTTCTAAATCTTAAGAACACCAACTTCAATTAAAACTAAAGCAACACAAAAACTGACAAAGAAGACAAGATAAATCCAAAAATGAAACATAAAAGAACTAAAGCCAAAAGGGTTTTTGTTTTCGTTGCTTACAATTCGATTGGTGCAAGAAACCAGGGGAAAGGAGCTGGAAACTCTTGCGAATAGGAAGGAGAAGGTAAGGAGGGACAGGTAATCCAGCTTTTAAATACTTAAAGATAAGAGCTTGATGCTCTAGCTCATGCCACTGCGCCACCGTGAAACCTGGTTGTGCTCTTGGCCCCACCGCCGCCACAGTCACTGATGACTTGCTCATTTCTTTCACTTTTCTCTTCAACTTCACTTGGGTAGGACAGACTTCTACTACTACTATTTTAAGCAACCCTGTTCAACAAATATTGGAAAAAGGAAGGAAGGGTTAGTTTGTGAGATATAAATACCTTTGCATGCGTTTACTGGGATTCAGAAAGAGAAATAGAAGATTTTTCTTTTTTACCATTGAACGGGAGATGGGAGAAGAGGGTTTGGACATAGTTGGGGAAATGTTAGATGTAGAAAAGAGAGAGAAAGAGAGAGACGGAAAGGACTAAAAACTCTCTGTTCGGTGGAAAAATGGCTTTTTATTTTTTGATTTTTGAATTTGGACATTAATGCTTCGATTTTTTGGGAGACAACAAAAGCGGAGTGCTATGAAATCTTGGCTAAAAGGCCCAATCTTTGCTTAACTTTACCTTATTTAAATTTTTAATTTTTATTTTTATTTTTATTTTTATTTTTATAAAAATTTAATCCATTCTATAATTTTTATCTATCACTCTTTTTAAAAAAATAATAATTTTTTATATTTCAATCTGAAATTTTTATCTATCACTCTTTTTTGTACATACATTAGAAAAATTCAAACTATTAAAAAAAAATTCAGAATTTTTAAATGTTATTTTTTAAAAATATTAAAAATACAAAATAATACAAAATGATTCTAAAGTTTTTTAAAAGCTTTAAATAAATCTTACTGAATAATTTCTTATTTTTTGTAATTGTATTATATATATGTGTGTGTGTGTAAATAACAAAAAATAATTTGATAGATCATATAAAAAAAAAAGTTTAAAAAGATCAAAATACAAATTTAAAATTTAAAATTTGATTTTTGAATATACTTAAGTTCAGAAAAGATTCTATCTTTTAGTCTAAAATCTTCCTAGCCTCTTTTTTTATAATATATATGCAGTCTAAAATTAACCTTTGGTGGAAAAAACTCCACAAGTTAAGGAATATCAAATGCTACTAATTCTAATAATTCAATGTGTAATAATCGGTATATGCTAAAACTAAAATTGAATAAAAAATTAAATATTAAAAACATGTGATAAATATTTTGAAGGCATGGAATAACCCACAAAAGCTTGAAAGAATATTTAGAACTACTAAAATAGTTATTTGATTGCTAAATGAATATTTTATTAATTTTACAATGCATGAATAGTGATTTATGTGTGAAATAATTAATTTGAGCATATTGCATATGCATGAAAAATGTTTTGTTTGCTTAGAATATTTATTAAAAGGGTGTTAAATTATTTTATGTTGTTGTATGAATTTTTTGGTTTGTTGTAAACATTTTATTTAAATTTTTGTGTGTATGAATAGTGTTTTTTAGGTAAACTAATTAAATTAGGTACTTTAAGAGTATAAGAAAATTATTAAAAGGGTATAGAAAAATCATTTAGGATGTGCAGGAATATTTAATAAATTTAAATGAATTTTTCTATATATAAGGAATGTTTCTTATAAAAAATAGTGTAATTTTTACACTAGATAATTAATTTGAAGGCCTAAATAAGTATATAAAAATTATGTGAATGAGGATTAAATTCTTTTAAAAAACTTTTGAACTTATTATGAAAAGAATTTGGATTTTGAAAAGCTATGGGATGCAATTTTGGATTTAGGGACTTAATTGCATAAAATTAAGGACTCAATTGTATAAAATTGAAAGTTTGAACTTTAAAATTAAATTATGTAGCAATTTTAAAAGTCAAAAAGTGGCTGTAAAAACTTAAAAATAAGGTTCAAAAGTGATTATTTGAATAAAAGGAGGATTTATGAAAGAATAAGCCATGGAACATTCCGGAAACTTGAGGAACTAAAATTAATTATTTTTCCTCCAGCTTTGGCTGACTTACAGAATTAATTAGGCCTAAATTTCAGTAAAAATCATGACCTTAATTGAGCTAAATGGAAGCTTCAAACTAAAACAAGGATAAATGGCTAAAATTTTAGCCAAATGAAAAGAGGAGATTGCAAATCGAATTAACGGCTAAGATTTATCCAAATTAAGGATGGAGACGAGGCCAACAAGTTCACAAAATGTGCCTATAAATAGAAGTGCTGGAAAATTTTAAAATGGAAGGAAAATAGAAAAATACAAAGGAAACTTTTGCAAAATTTTCACTTAAAATTTACCCAAAATATTCTCAACCAATTTTAGGCACTCCAAATCAATAAATTAAGCCTCAAATTCAAGTTGGAAGCTGAAAATTTCTAAGGAGGAAATTAAAGAAGCTCATCCAAAATTAAGAGGGAAAAGAGGAGGAAGAAAATTCTTAACAATCCAACTTTTTAAGGCTAATTTGGAGCTTAATTAGGTATGTTAACTTCACCTACATCACAAGAAGCTTTTAATTGATGTCAATTTGTGCTTTAGATGCTTTAATTTATGAATTTTAGTCTTAATTTTGAAAATTAGGGTTAGGTTATTGGTGAAGAAAAATTGGATAAAATCAAAGTTAGTTAGTAATTCATGCAATTAAGGTTAAAACATATTAATTGAACTAAATTTGAGGTTTAGAAATAAAAAATTTATAGGGTTAGGCATGGGTGACTATTCAACCCAAAATGGAGATTTAGGGCTTTTTTATTCTTTCATATAATTGTTGTTCTATAGCTTGATTATTACTTAATTAGGTGTGAATTAATGTTTAGGGGTGAAAATTTTCATTCAAATGGAAGAAAATTCAATGAATTTATTAGGGTTTATATTCGGCCTAAAACCCAAAAATTTACGGTTTTAATTCTTCCATTCAATTGATGAATTATTAGTTAATTGGTAGTTGAATGAGTATGATTTGATAATTAGAAATGAAAAATTCTACAAAAGTTTAAGAAAATTGCTTAATTTTGCTTAGGCCCATTAAGGCCCAAATAGGGTTTAGGCATGTAATTGTTTCATAAATGTCAATTAAATCAATTCCTATTGCTAATGGGTGATTGAATTACTTGGTATTAGAAATTAATGATGAAATGAGAAGAAAATAATTAGGCTTTGGTTAAGGGTAAATTCGACCCAAAATGGACAAATTAGGGTTTAGGTTTTAAATGATCCTTAGCATTTTAATTTATTAATTCAAACATAGAATGATGTAATGAGATAGATTAGAATGAGGAATTTCATAAAAATCTAAAAATTATCTTGTATTAGTAAGGTTAGAGTTTGGCCCAATAAGGCCCAATGTGAAAATTGTACATATATTTAGTTAAGTAACACCTAATTAAGTTAGTTCTTGAAGTTAGGATTAAATTAAGTAGAATAATATGTGAAATAGATGTTAAAATTGAAAGAAAATAGTTAGGTTAGGCTATGGCATAATTCGGCCTAGGTTAGAAAAATTTAGGATTTCGGGTTTATTTTATGTAACTTAATGTGTAATTGTGTTTTTGAATATCATTTAATGTATTTGAAATATGTATGTTGATTGTATTTGTAATGTTGATGAATATGGAATTATGTTATGTGTATGGTGTATTGGTGTTGGAATTAGTCATGTGGTTTGAAATCATTTATTCAATGAAATGTTGATAATGCATTTATATTATTGAATTATGCATTATCACAACACATTTGCATATTATTCATACCATGCATTTAATGAATTAACATTGTTACGCATTGTCGATGAAATGCCTAAGCTTTTCAAATTCTATGAAAAATATTTTAAATCATGAAAACATATTTTTACGTCATGATTCTCCAATAGCAATTGGATCTATTTTATGAAAGATGATTTTCATGACTTTAAGGAATTTTATAAGGAAGGGCTTCATGGGTTTTTCATATCTTGATGGTAACAATTCGGAGCGGGGCAAGTACGGACGTGCACTTTTAGAGGCTCGGCAAGACGCATCCATAGACGGGTCCGGTTCGTCAAACATATTATGGAAACCTTGAAGTACCCGTGATGAGACATATCCAAAGACGAAAAAAGAAATTCAAACTAATCATGAAATGTATTTATGACATGAAAAAGATTTTAATATGAGCATACCACTATTTTATATATGCATATTCATTTACATGTATGACATGCATAAGTTAACTTACTAAGCTCTCGCTCATTTAGTTTTCTTGTGATGTAGATAATTAAGGTAATCATGGCTTACTTCTCCGCTAAGCTGATCTACGAGGGTTACACTCGACAATTATACCTTGGATGGGGATTTGGTTTCCAAGTCGACCTACTTCACGCTATTTTCTTCCCGGTATTAGTTGTCATTATTTATGCATTAGGACTAACCAGATCGTTTTATACCATATTTAAAGAAATAGACAAATAGATAGGAAATTGTTGATATGATATAGGCCGATAAATAAGCTACTTTTGTTATATGTAGCACTAAATTAGCTTTTGTATATTAGTAGTGTTATATATGTAAATAAAATAGTAGAGTAATCATAATTAGTGTAATTTCCTTTAGGTTAATTATTTCTTGACTAGTACCATAAGCAAATTAGAACACCGATTAAGGTAAATGGTAACTAGCAATTACTCACCAAATAACAAGGTAAAAACAATCGGTAACTAACATAAAAGGTTAAATAGTAAAAAGAAAAACAAGTAAGTATCAAGTAATGGATCATGCTTAAATAAATTTAAATAAGTTAAAAAAAAACGAATTTAGGAAAACAGAGAGTCACGAGTTCAATTAATTCAGTCCACAAAACTTAAATAAAATAATAAAATATAAAAAATTCATAGTGTATTTTAGACTAAATTATAGGACTTAATTATCATTATTAGACTTTCACGGCGTAATTTATACATAAGATGTTAATAATAAGTCATAGTGCCTTATTAGTTTGCATTCATTGTACTTCGAATGTAGGTTAGTGGCGATAATATTCTTAACCTATTAGGTCCTAAGTTGAGGATCTTACAAATATGGTATCAAAACAGAGTTTACCGAATCACATCCAAGGTATATCAATGGCAACCTCGGGAATTAGTAAGTATGTTTAATGAATGATGATTTTGATTG